AACTCATGCCATTTGCAGCATTTGAGCTAGAAGGGATCATGCTCAGCGAAATAAACTGGAAAGAAAAAGAAAAAATACCGGATGGTCTCACTCATAGCAGGAATTTAGAAAAACCTAAATAAGGGACCAGGAAAAAGACTAATTATAATAAAGAAAAAATCAAATCAACAAGCAACTATAAAACAGAGACACACTACTGGGGGGACGGGGTTGGAACGAGGGATTAGGGTCAAAATAAGGGGATGCAATTGTATGGGGGATATAACCCAAATGAAAGTGCATACATTATGCAAAAATGAAAAATGATGTAAGAATTATATAAAATAAAATATATTAATATAAAAAAATAAAATTAAAAATTTAAAAATATTTTTAAAAAACCCGGTATTTTGGATTCTGAGGATCACCCTGATTTTTCCTTAAGCTCCCTGTGTCTCCATGTGGAGGACATGGAAGCAGTCAACCTATTCCAAGAACTGGGCTCCCCTCTGGGAGGTGCGGTGTGGAAGGGAAGCAAAAACGCCCCGACCCATGATGCCAGATTCTTTCTGTCATTCCCAGGGACCCTCCTGGACACTCCATCCCATTCTGGGCCTGTTTCTTTGTTGCTGGGTCAGTGTAAGAAGAGAGTCTATATTTGTAGAGCTGTTTCTCCTTGTAAGATCATAGGACAAAGACCCGCTGCCTGAATTTTCTCACCATGAATTTGTTGATCTTCTGTTCACCTTGTTCTTTTGCTTGTTTTATCACCATCCCTTTTGCTTCAAGACCTCGACCTGCGATTGCAGCTTCTCCTGTAGGGAGAGAGTTGTTTTGGCAAAATAGGCCTGGACCCCCCTCAGCCCCACAACACCATCCGCTCCTCAGGATGCTGGTGAGGCTAACCAGGGCAATTTTTAAAAAGATTTGTTTATTCATGCATACAAGAGCTGGGCACAGGCCAGATGTGCGGGGGTGAGAGGATTCACCAGAGACAGAGTGGGGAGCAGAACAGGCAGACTGACGGAAATACACTGCTGAGGGGAGCAGCGGGTGAGACAGGAGAGGTCTGCTGCACCACATGGGTTGCTCCCTGGTCAGCTGTGGATTGAACTTGTGCTTTAGAGGCTGCAGATTGCTTCATAGTGTGTGCTTAACTCTTTGTGCCACCAGGGAGGCCCAAGCAAGGGCAATTATTAATAGAGCCCTTTTTGCTGCCCAAAGCTGGGAGATGGGGTGTACTGAGGGAGGGTGAAATATGGAACTAAAGTGACCTATAATGGCCCCCCGGTGGCACAAGGGTTAAGCACCACACTATGGAGCAATCCACAGGTTTGTAGCACGAGTTTAATCCCCGGCCAGCCAGGGAGCAACCCACATGTGAGGCAGACCTCTCCTGACTCACCCACTGCTCCCCTCAGCAGTGTATTTTCAGTCAGTTGCCTGTTCTGTTCCCACTCTGTCTCTGTGAAGCCTCTCACCTCCCACATCACTGGCCTATACCCCAGCTCTTGTATGCATAAATAAATAATCCAGTATATGGCAGGTAAATTTTTGTCAAATAAGAAAAGGAGTAATACTTGCTAGGAAAATAAATAAATAAATAAATAAATCTTTACAAAATAAGTGACTATAGGAGAATTTTGTCATAAATATAACATAACTCTAATCCCACAAACTTTCCCTTAGTTGCCAACAACTTATCGAATACACATTTTGCCCATTTGGAAGGTGAGGCCCTGAGGCTCAAAGAGTAAACTGATTCTTGAAGGTCATTGTAGTGTCTGTGAGAAAACACAGAATCTTCGCAGAGTTTCTCAGACTGTTTTCCCACCATGACAGGCGCCCCAGTAGATAACATTAGCTTTTGGGATGTAGCTCGCATGTGAGGGGAGCAGTAAATAACATAGAACCTATGTACAGCTTGCATGCGGGAACACATATTTCTGAAAGTAGGCTTGAACTTGATCCTGTGCCTGCTTTGTTCCTAAATCATATAAAGGCTAATAGGACCCCTGGTGCGGTGAGGAGGGGGGCTCTCACTGGCCACACACTGAGGGCTGGGGCCACTGCTGTGACCAGAGCCCAGGGGAGCTGCTGCTGTTGCCGCCTGTGTATCTCCTGCTGCCTCATGATAAAGACTCCTGCTCCCCACACGTGGGCTTCGTGACCTGCTTTCTCATCGCTGCCAGTGAGAACGCAGCAAGCTTGAGCCCCACAGTCCCAAACCTCTGGCTCAGAACGCAGTGTCCTTTCCACTCTCCAGGATGCCTCAACTCAGACTCAGAGCTCTGAGCCCACAGTACCTGACTGCAAACCGCCTACTCAGTGCAAAGATGGGGTGATGCTGAGGGAGAAAGTGAGTTTCCTGGTCTCCCGGGGAGACAGAGAACAGACCCTAAATGCCTACCTGATATCTTGGGACAGCCTCTTCTATTAAAAGTACATTGTGGGATTTGTGCTCCTTGGATTCCCGACACACCATACAAAGGAGCTTCCCATCAAGATCACAGAAGTAATGGAGTTTCTCCTCATGTTTCATGCATCTGTCTTCTTCCTTTTCGTCAGCATCTCAGAGGGATCTATAGCTTGAATCCTCTCCACCAGATTTACCAACAGCAAATTGGGCTCGAAGTTCTTCCTCACAGATTTGCCACAGAGGGGACATTTGCAAAATTTCCTTGATGTTTCTTCTGCAACCCGAGAGATGCATCTGAGGCAGAAATTGTGCCCACAGTCCAGAGTGACGGGGTTCTGCAGAATATCAATACAGATGGGGCAGAGCAGTTCCTCCTTCAGTCTGTCGGTAAAGTGTTGACTCGCCATGGCAGGCAGAGGGCTGCTTCAAGTCTGTTGAAATTCTAGAAGTCTCCTCTGGACACTGGTTCTAGGGAGGAGGATATGAAAGTCAAATATTCTACCAGTTAGAGAAGCAGGGAGGGAGGAAATGGGGGGAGGACAGAGAGAGAGAGAGAGAGAGAGAGAGAGAGAGAGAGAGAGAGAGAGGAGAAAAATGATTAGAATGTAAGAAATACTATAAAGAGAGCACGCAGATAGGCAATCTACCTCACTCCTGGAGAACAAATGAATATTGTGAATGGATATATGCTGCTTATGAAGCAGGGTAAGTTGTCCTGAACCTTGAACTAATTAAGAATATGTTTATAAGAGATTTAACTGAGATCAGAAGGGCCAGGGCACCAAAGTCTGCTCAGAAGTTGGGCTGGGGGGCGTGGTGGGGGCTGGGGATACTTCCTGAAAGCTCACAGCTTGAAGTGCTTTGGGCATGTCTTGTAGGCAGAGCCCAAATCTTGGGAGAGGAAGGAGGAGATGATTCTCTACCACAGGTACTTTGGCACCATGCTCTGAAGAGTTTTGTGAAAACATAGAAGATATGGCCCTTCCTAATGGCCTAGGGGTGAAGCCGCAACATTATCACCACTATGGCCTGAGTCCTGAGTTCGATCCCCAGTCAGGGAGCTCACCCACATGGCGCAGCAGACTCTCCTGTCTTACCCTCTGCTCCCCTCAACAGTGTATTTCAGTAGATGCGCCTGTTCTGCTGCTCACTCTATCTCTGGTGGATCCTCTCATCCTCCTGTACCTCTGGCCTACACCCTAGTTCTTCAAAGCTAAAAATACAAAATAAAGACTGCTCGGAGGAAAGTTGTTTAAAGATTGTGGACGATATAATCACCACCTCGGGAGTTGCCAGCTATACTGAGAAGCAGCCATTGCACGCTTACTGGGGATTGCTAGGACAGTGGGAGACACAAGGAGCTTCCTCTCTGAAAGACAATATCTCATTTTGTCCATTTTCCTTGACACTGCCGCATCTTACACTTGCCCGAAGCACTGCTGACAGTCTGTCCTCTTGGATTTCCCCCCTGTATGAAATCAGTACCCTGGTGTCTACATGCTCTTTCTTTGTTTGGCTTGTGTCTCTTCCAAATTCTCTGACCCCGGACTTGACTTCCCTTGACTTTTGTCCTGACTAGGAAAATATTAACCAGCATCACCTATGGTTCTTTCTGTAGCTCAACACATCTACCTTCCTCCTCCCCCTTGTATTACAGGAGAATTGTCCTTCTGTTACAGGACAGGGAGTAGGGCACCCCAGAACCTCCAAACCTGATGGCACTAAATAGGTTCTGCCATCCACCACATCAGGACAATATATATAAATCTTCAATGGAAAAAAACATTAATACAATAGTGTGCGATACAGAAAAGACAAAGAATATAGTTTCCAATCAAGCATCCAAAGTTACCCATCCTCCCATGAATAAAAGTCCATCCAAAAGGGATTGAGCAAGACCCAAAAGCCTGACACAAGCCTAAATCACCTCCCAGCGGGGATCCATAGAAAAGGGTCAGAAAGAGTCAGACAAGTCTGGGAGGAAAAGTGCAAAATCAAAACCACGATAAAAGCTGCCATTGTTGGGCCTTCCTTGTGCTGGGATTAAAGACAGTGCTATCAAGCTATCACCAGCCACTATAACACTAGTTCAATCCAGTCACTGCAGCACGGGTTTGATCCTGTCTGGCCAGGGAACAGCCCACATGGAGCAGCAGATCTCTCCTGCTTCACCCACCGCTCCCCTCAGTAGATCTGCCTGTTCTGCTCCCTACTTTCTCTGGTGAATCCTCTCACCCCTGCACCTCTGGCTTACATCCCAGTTCTTGTATGTCTAAATAAATGAATCTTTGGAAAAAACAAAGCTGTCATTATTAACCTCCCCCATAGGTCTCTCACCCACATCTGTTTCAACCAGTCCAAGACTGAGAAGCAAGTGCAATTTCTTCACATATCTCTCTGCTCCATGTGCCTCCTGCTGGTCTCCTTCTTGCTCTCTATCCTGCTTCCTTCCTTCTCCAGCTCCTCTCCAGCTTCTTCTCTTCCCGGCTCAGCTCCACCCTCCTTTGGGTGGTCAGGGAACCTGGAACCTCCCCTTTTCCTGGGGACCACCTGTTACACTTCCTGTCTTCCCATTTCATCTGGATCCCACTTCCACCCTTATGTCCCCTAGCTCTAGTACCTGACATCTGACACCAACAAGCAGACCATTAATTTTATCTGAACTTAATCTTAGGCCAAACGGGGATTCTAGATAATTGTATGATTATAGTCAGAGTAATCACACATGCTGGTTTTCCTGGGACAGTCCCTGTTTCACCTTTGTCCTGGTGTAATTAATAGCATATCCTTTCATCTCAAAAGTGTCCAGTTTGGATAACAAATTATATGGGTATTGTACTATGATATTGTGATTTGTAGAAATATGTCTGTTTCATCATTCAGATGACTGAAATATATTTCTCATATAAATCCATAGTTCTGGCTCATGGCTCCCTTTGGAATTTCTTAAGTGTTGAGAGTGTTATGTTATGTTAGTGAAGGTAACTTTTGGAAAATAACTGAGGATACATGAGGGCTACTAGGGAAACCAACCTGAATAGAGATGGGCACTTCCTGCCCCCACTACCCTGGCCTCTAGGGAGAAGAGGGGACCCAGAGATTGAGTTTGGTTGCTGATAGCCAACGAGTAAACTCAGCCTTGCCTATGTAATGAAGCCTCATATAAGTCCAAGAGGCGGTCTTCAGAGAGCTTCCCAGTTGGTGAAGTTGTGAAGATTTGGGGGAGAACGGCTCACCTGGAGGGGGGCACAGAAGCTCAGTGCCTTTCTCCCACACCTTGTCCTGTGCACCTCTTCCAATGGGTCACTGATTTGTACCTTTGATATCCTGTTGGAGACCCCCGGAACCTGCAGTGCTGAGACAAGAGGGTCATTGAGGTCGTGACCAGAACGCTGGTCCGCGTGGGCTAGAAAGCTGGCCCATGTGCAGATCACGATGTCCTTCCATGGATCAGCAAAACTGAGCATGAGAAAAGAACAATTTGATTATGCAAAACCTTGGCAATGAATGTGTGCCAGAAATATGCTGTATCTCTGCTTGTCCTGTATCCTACTTTGTAATCAAACTGTGCTTTGGTGTTCCTGCTAATAAAGTCTGCTGAGGAGAGCAAAGCACATCTTGAATCTCTCTCCCTAGCTGCCTTTCCAATCTTCTCAAGACTCATGCCCTCATCCTTTTGCCTGGGCTATCCATGACAAGTGGTGCCCGAACAGGGACTTGAACCCTGGACCCTCAGATTGGATTCAGTGTCTCAGTAAGTAGTTGGGCAATCCTTGGGCCATTTTTAGGTGGCGACTGGCTGCCAAGGGAATTCTAAGGTTGGGAAACAAACAGGGTAGAAATGAGAATTGAAAACATTTAAATAGCCTGGTAAAAGGCCCCAGACCCAAAGTCTGTGACGTTTTTAATTCAATCTTTCCTAACTTCTTCTTCCAAATCAGCCTGATTACAGGCCCTAAAGACCCAGTATTGCAGACACAGTGTCTGCAACAAAGCAGTAAAAAACTGTTTTCAGTTGTGACTTTCTTTTGTCTCTTAGAAATAAGAGTAATAATTTCACCCCCCTTCAAACAATTATAAAGAACAACTTAGAGCTCTTCCACTAACCCAGGGATATGATGTGTCTGATAAAGAGCTCTCTATAAAGACAATTTTGTCTCTCTTTAAAGACAGTTAAGACCTCTTGTAAAAAATTCCTCAAGAAAAAATCTTAAATTTAAAAAATTGAGAAAATTCATGAAGACACAAAGAGGCTTAGAGGCAACGCCTGTCTCTCATTTTAAATTGTGGAATTTAAGTAATTCGGCTATTCATCACTAGATGAAAAAGTTTTTAATCCAAAAGAACCAGGCCATGACTCAGCCAGTGCTTCCCCTCTCTTCCCACTCACCCTTCCCCTCCCTGAGATGCAGCCGAGACCCAAAAGTGAGACAACTGTCTCCAACATATTTCAAGCCCCTCATAAAAAAAGTTTCATGAAAAACAATCAGAGGGAGAAATGCTTCAAGCTTTTCCAGTTATCTGAGGAGGAGGCCAAAGTCCCCGACACCAGGGTTTTGCCATTTGCTGTTTTTAAGAAATTTAAAGTATTTCTAAAAATAATAATCAAAGATCATTTACAAAAACTTTGTTAAGGTTATCGGATATGGGTATAATAGGACTACATGAGACTCAAAGAATCTTCTCACAACAGTACCAACCCCCTGGGGCAGGCTGGTAGGGGACTGCCCCAGGTCTCAACAAGCAGCAGCTACCTGGACCTTGGCTCCAGCATTAGAATCATTGACATGTCTCTTCTGCCTTCCAGCTGTGATAAACTGGACTCTCCTTTTGTCAACCTTGAGATTCTATTTGGGGTTGTTCTATAGGTAAAAAATTCTATTTCCCTGTGTTTCCTACAAAATGCTTATTGGTTCAGTAAAAATTTCTAAATTGCTTATTGGGCCTGTAAAAATTTAAGTTTCTTGTTAAAGCTAATTAACATGGTAAAAAATATAAAGTGAAAATACAACTTTTTGGACTAAATTCCCAACCTCAGATTTTAATAAAAGTCTAAAAACTGTGAGATCTTAATCTACCCCTTCTCCTGTCATCAGAAAAAAAGTGTTTTCTTTTGTTTTTCTTTTTTTTTGTCTTAAAAATGTACTCATTCTCAGTGAGATAAAACAAAAACGGTGTAAAGCCAAGGGATTTATTCTTAAAATACAAACTCAGAAATGTTTTCTTATCTAAAAAGTTAGTGAAAACTGCTTGACTTTAAAATTGTTGTGGTCATAAACCCTAGGTCTTTAGTAATGACTTTTTTTTAAACATTAATTTATTCCTCAAATCCCTATCCGGGATCTGCTGAATATGGCCTTTGAAGAACTGGGGTAATGATTAAGATTGGATATTTATTCTATGTGAA